AATTACTGACTACTGAGGAAATAAGTTGGGGCAAAAGGGTAGGTTTCTTTTAAAAATGTGAGTTAACATGGCTTGGATGTAGGAAGGGTCAGATAGCCTCTAAAAGCCTATTTGTGTTTCTTGAACAACTTGCAAAATTTCTTTTACGTGCCACTCCAAGGTAATCGTGGGAGCAATTCCTCTAGAGAAGGGGAAAAGGTATTTCCTGAAAGGGAGGGAATGGGTACTCTTCTTGGTGTGGTATGATCAGAGATGCTAAACAGCTGAAATATGTTGGTGGCCTGCCAGCCTTAGGGCTTGTTGCAAAAAAGCTGTTGTTTTGCTGGAACAACTGTGTCTCAGGAATGTCTTGCTTCCTCAGCTGACTCACAATTCACCTTGCTGTGACCTGTCTTCCCGAGGCTGAGCGGATGTCCGGGTAATCTAATACTGGCATACTTACTTGGGACACTTAAAGCTGATCTTCAAAAAGAAAAGGCTTCTCACCAGAGTGTGTGTGTCCTAGATTGCTGCTGTGCAAACTCAGACTAGTTTCTGCGTGGATGAAGGAGTGATTAGGCAGTGTTGAACACTTAGGGTTTATATTTCTACCTTCACTTGAGCAAAATCACTTAGTGAAAAAACAATAACCCCTGGAAACTTACTAATGAGTAACTTGAGGATGAATACATGGCAATATCATTATTAGATTCTGCATATATCTAACTACATTTCTTGAAAAACATGTCAGATTAAAAAGGGGAAGAGTCCTTTAAGCATAATGAAAATAGCAAATTGTTATACTGTTTTGGTAAGATGTAAATTTTAAGAGGGTTTTTCCAATTTTCAGTAATTCTGCAGAATGCACTCAAAACTGTGGCTAAGCTTGTGCCAGATTAAGTTTCCTAACCTTTCCATTCCGATAAAGAACACATTTTCTTGTGATGGCAGGCAAGCTTAAGCTGCCTATATGAAAGAGGTTTTACACTTCAACCTTTAGAAAATTTGCGTTGTGGCTTGCTTTTCTGTACTTTTGCTTGCTTTTTTGTAGCGAAAACTTCCTATGCGCTCACTTTCAAGCCCTAACTGTTTCTTTTTCTCTGCATATTTTTACAGTGAGCAGCAAAACATTGTAAGTGAAGCCTCTGGGCACCTCTGACTGTAATGCAGTGCTACTGGCCGTAGCTCTTCAAGTAACAGAGAAGTAAAATATTTTACTAATAAGGAGGTTATTTGCATGCTGGTTTTTGTACAGGGGTGTAGGCTACCCTTTATGTACTCATAAGCTTCTTCTTGCAGTCAGGAGGCCTAGATTCTAAGTAATATCTCAGCCCAAAGCAATTGCCCAGACACTGCACTTGAGGTAACATACCAGCTGTAGCCAGACGTTCTGCATTGACAACTGGTGAATTGGTATCTCTCTGGGTCTGCTTCAGGGAGTGATGCCAGTGCCAAGAGTGGTTCTTGATGCTCATGTGCCAAGTTGCAGCTGCTGTTTACAATCTGGAAAGCACCTGTGAATTACACCTATGAAATGAACTGGGAAGGACAGCTGTGTCTTACACCAAGTGATACCAGTACAATAGTGAAATATTTAGTATTGGGGAGATACTGGAAAATAAATACTGGGGTGATGTATTTTAGTATTATTGATTGTGGTACATATTATATTCAAAATACTGGAGACTAGACTGGGACCTTGTACTGGGCGTTGTGCAAAGATAGTGGAGGTTATTTACTCTCAAGGAATGCATTTTCTCACTGCTTTTCTTCTACAGTTGGTTTTTTGGAGTGATTTATTTTTGTTTTGTTGTTATTTTTATCTGTTCAGGGTTTTTTGTTGGTTTTTGTTGGTTGGTTTTTTTTTTTTACCAGTAGAGCTGTGTTTGCAGAGAAGCTTATGTTGTTTAGGTAAATGACAGTAAAGTAAATGTGATGCAACTATATACCTTCCATGCTAGTGGGCTGCACAGATTAGTCTAAATGTCTGCCAGTGTAGTTCTGTTGGCAGCTCTCATTCCAAAAACTGTTGTTTAGAGCTGGCAGATGTCAGTGTTATGACAAACAGTACTATCTCCTCAGTTTGCAGAAGAACTCTTCTAACTGTAAATGTTCTGATACTGAGTTGTGTAAAAAGTGGAGGGAAGATTAAAGGATGGGTCATAAAAAAGACTGACGCAAAAATGGGAAAAAGTGGTATGAGAGATAGGCGAACACTAGAGGGAGGCTCTGAAGTTGACAGCTGCTTGATACAGTCTATTTTAATTTCAAAAAAATCTTTGAAGAATGTTATTCAAAGTCTTTGAGTAAACTGGGTCATAATTTGAAAACATACAGTGCTTGCATGGATTGTTTAAAAGCCAGGAAGCAGAGGATGATAACTGCCCATTGCAATGAGGCAGATGCTGAATTCCACAGGGTGCTGTAGTGAGATGAATGCCTTCAGCATGGTCAGAAATGATCTTGGAAAGAGGGTGATCAGTGAAAGGATGGACAAAAGTTGCTGATGACAAGTAGTTGTTCAGAATGGTGAAAACAAGGGCCCTCTGAGGAATTCAGGAACAGAGAGACTGCTGGTGAAAATTCCTCTGCCATAGGGTTGTGCAGTATAGAAAAATCTGACTTTGAGCTGAATATTGCAACTCAGAAGCAGGATTTTAGCGCTTTGATACTTGACTGATATCATCAGCTTACCTGCATGGTTTTGAGGAAAATGAGGACTAGTTTATGAAATAAAAATCAGTTATGACATTGTCAAATACCTGCATTTCTGAGCCAGTGTGTTTTTTTCTGAACGTGATTAAAAGCTAGAAGGATTTCTGGGGGAATTCTTAACCATGTCATTACTTTTTTCCAAAGCATCGGCTAATGACCGGTGTTGGAGATGGGATGGATGCTTCTTAAAGTTTTTAGGCATCATTTGATCATAGCCAATCTTGTCCTCATTTAGAAAAAAAAAATGTTTAAATGAACTGTAGAAGTCCGTCTCTTTCAGCAAACCTGTCTCTGAGTGTTCAGCTGCTGTTTCATTTAGCCCACTGCTTTGGAGAGACCACAGGGTTTGTGCTGCAACTGGTCACACCCTTGTTGAAAGAACTGCCTTTAGTTGTATGGAAACTGAAGCAGTATTTGATGAGAAGAATGGAGAGTGGAAATGCTGGTCTCAGCAAGGAGCAATAGTTGGTGAACAGCATCACTGTCACATTTGCATAAAAATATGTGAAAAGCAGGGGAACTGTGCATCTTGTGCTCTTTTGTACAGCAATACTATCAATCTCCTTGAAAAGGTCCTGAGTTAAGAACAAGTTAAGAGGAAGTATGTAAGGAAAAAGCTGTATAAAATGGATAAAGTCTTCTATAAATACAAAATAATGCTAATTGTTATTGTTGCTCAAAAAAAACGGACCCGTTAATGAGAGTTGTAATTGTAGTATGCTCTCAGTTTCTATAGGTCTTCAGTCCATGCTAGCTTTGAGACCAATTGTTTTATAGACAGCTTGCATACATGTGCAAACCTGAAATCATAAGACAGGCAAATGAGATCTGAATAAAATGAGTCAAGAATACTACTGTAACTCCTCTGTTTCTTATTGCATTGTTAGATGTCCTTTGGTTTACAGCAGTGCTGCTATTCTATTTGATAGCAAGTACTGTATTATTTTTTCTGAAATAGATGGACAGGTAGTTGGTTCTCTAGTTTTTCTGCATATTAGGGAATTGGAATCTTTTTTTATTACATGCAGTCTTCTAAATACTTTAATGGCACTGTAAAGTTGTGGTTCTAAATGAGGACATCGAACACTTGCTTTCCATGTAGTTGTTGGGACGTAGTTATGACACCAGAAAAAATGTTTTGATTCTGTCTACATAGAATGTAGGTGTTTAATTCTGAAGTCTAGATTCTAACATGTTTTTTCATATTGACTGTTAATATCTTGATCTTACTGGGATTGTGGTTTTGTGTTACACTTTGGACAGATCAAATGCAATTTTCACTTTTTCTGGAACATATCCCTCCAACACTTTGCTAAAATTGTGATTGGAATGCATTATAAGGAGTTGAAATTCCTGAATGAAACTTGAATTTATTTAGCTTACAGGACAGCAGCTATAATGAGGACTCTAAAGCAATGGTTTCCATGCTCTGTGGACATGTAATTATTTCTGGTAGTTGGAGCCTCCTGAACTATTGGACCTAAGATGGCAGTAACAGGATGTTTTCTTGTGCGTAGTATTATCTTCGACTTCACCTGAAACATCTTTTTGGATACTAGATTCCTAAGTACTGTTTTGCTGGCAGAAAATATTATGCATAATACATATGAGAACATAGATGCTTCATGGTATGCAAGATTTGCAATACTCTTGATGTCAAAAGTTACTGTGTCTGCAATGTGTTTATGATGATACTGAGATATTTAAGAAATTTCTGATCATTCAGGACATGGAAATAAAGTCATCTTAAATAGCTTGGCACGTGGCATAATTTTTCTGGGGGTAAAATGTTGGAATTTTATGTATATTCTGAAGAACTACTCGGATTGGTTTTGGAAAGTTGGGATTAAAAGTAAAGCCACAAAAAGACATCTTTAAACTGATTTAGCTGTAAGTATACTCTGCAATTACATGCTGGAAATGAGTAAACATTTACCAGAAGGGTTCTATCACCCTTTTTACTTCAGTTTTTCTCAAGTTATATTTCAATTTTATACTTATGACTAGTTTTCAGTCAATGATACAAGTACAGTGCCATGATATAAAACTCAACATGGCATTTTTATGGTACTTTAATTTATGTGAGTATTCTGGTTTTAAACCAGAACAAAGTTTTTCAGTGCTTCTGTATGTTTTAGACTGAGAGCTCAAAAAGTGCATGGCAGATGTGCCACTCTTCAGAGTATGATATGTATTTATTTCATAAAGCTGACATGGTTTGTGTTTCTTTAAATATTAGAGCACTTTAGAGTTTGTAACACCAATCTAATGCTGCTGTTCTTATGCGTTCTTTCTTTTTCCTCTAGTGTTTGAAATCTAGCAGAATGGCAGACATAGACAAGTAAGTAAAATCTGTAGGTTACTGAGGCTCTGACCGTGTCCTGTGCTGTACTTGAGATGGCTGGGATCTCCAGACACTTGATGGGCAGAGTCTGGATACTGACCTTTGCACTGTGGCAAGATGTGAGGTTTATAGGATTTGGGAGAAAAATGAGTTACTCACAACAACTGGGTTTGGGATCTTAATTGGAAGTAAATCTAAAAGTGGCACAAATCAACTTACTATGTTAGTTGGAATTTTGGAGGGGAAAAACAGATAGTATTGCCCATTACTACTGTTTGACTGTATGTAGGTTTTTTCTATACTTTGAATTGCTCACATTTTGTGCAATTGAAGTACAGTTAAGATGAACCTACCCACACTTGTCAAGGCTTGCATATCTTAATAAAGAGATCTGTAGAGCAGGAGGCTTTGACTGGTTGATAAGCACAGGAGATGAAGGAATTCTTCTGTAAAAAGGAAACTTTGTAATTCTGGAAAGTTACTAGTTCTTTAAGTTGTTCCAAGATTGTCAGATATGAAACTTCTATGAAGGTAAATTTGGCTTCATTTGGCTGTTAAGACTGCTAGTTTGTCATAGATGAAAGATGCAACAGTTTGCTTCTGCTCTCGTAATCTCTAGTTTGATCTCTTTAGGCTCATTACAGTATTTTATAATGTTAAATTCTTGATCCTGTTATTGAATATTTTTAATAGCAAAGAACAGTCTGAACTTGATCAGCAGGATATGGAAGATGTTGAAGAAGTGGAAGAAGAGGAAACTGGTGAAGATGCCAACAGCAAAGGTAATGTTGAAACCAAGGGTTTCTAAACAGCTGCATATGTGCTTTCTAATTAATGTATTAAAAGAAATTTACTGCTAAAACCAACAATAAATGGTAAAACAATTTTGAGTGTACAACTGTTTAAATTCTGAAGCAAGGACTTTTTTTCCCCAAGTTATGTGATTTTTAGTATTTGTCTGCAGTTACTCATTTTAGTCATGCTTAATACCAGTTCAGGCAGTGCTGGCCACCTCTATAATTGGAAAAGACAGGATTGTTGTGGATATGTGACTGAATTCTTTCAAAACTCACAACAGTTAAAAACTTCACCTGTGAAGCTTTGGGTATAAAAAAATCATGTGTGTGTGTGTATCTCTTATTTTTTGATTAGTTGCTTAGTAATTTGCTGCTGAGTTGTTTGACTGTGAACAGAACAAAAATCATGCTTAGTGTTTACCACTCTTAAAATCAATAAATCCTTCTTCTTTCCCCCCCCCAGCAAAAAACATGAGCATGTATCAGAATACATGTTTTGCCAGTGCTGAACAGTCTTATTCATACTTTATATTTAATGTAATGTAACTTAATGTAATTTTCTTTTTTAATTTAGCTCGGCAGTTGACTGTGCAGATGATGCAAAATCCTCAGATTCTTGCAGCTCTTCAGGAAAGACTTGATGGTCTGGTAGGAACATCTGCAGGATATGTAGAAAGGTACGGCATTTGGTCAGTATGAGCAGATTGGTATAAATTTTGCTTTCTGAACATTGTTAGGAAGAAATTCTTTACAGAAAAGGTAATCAGGCATTGGAATGGGCTGCCCAGGGAAGTGGTGGATTCTCCATCCCTGGAGGTTTTTAAGATGAGACTGGATGTGGCACTCAGTGCCATGGTCCAGTAACCAGGGCGGTAGTGGATCAAGGGTTGGACTTGATGATCTCGGAGGTCCCTTCCAACCCAGCTGATTCTATGATTCTGTGATTCTGTTGTCTATGGCATTAGTAGTCAGAAACCACTGTGCTGCTCAGATAGCAGAAAAACTAATATAGTCTGTCTGTAGTGCATCTCACAATTGAAGAGTTTTTATTTCAGGTTTTATGAAGAAAAGAATGCTAATATTCACAGTGGCTGACCTTGTCCCCTGCACTTACAGTATGGCACACTTCTTAAGATACTTTCCTGCTACTTGAAATCTCTTTTGTAGCTTTACCTTAAACATGAAACATCAGTTATTTAAACTATGGACAAATACTTGGAGGCTTAGTGTCTATAATATAGTCATTTTATGCTTAGAGTGTAACCAGTAGCTGATAAAATTAAGAACATTATTAGCAGTACTTCATGTGGTATTCTCACTTGCAATAAACTCTTGCTAAAATTTTCTTTACGTGATCTGCATTAACAGATAGAATTTTCTGACTCTCGGGTAATTTCTGATTGTGTATGAATATTTCACCACATCCCCAGGAAGTGTAAAGTGTACGGCTCTCTTGCTGTGGTAGAGTCCTACATTGCTATTGGTTTGAACTGGGGCAGCTACTGGGTAACAGGCAGTGGTGCTGCTGCTGCTGTTCCCACTCCTACCACTTTCCTGTTACAGATTATAGCATAGAACAAAAACCTAAACAAAAATAAACCAAAACAAAGATATTGTACACTATAGGCTTTTCACAATATTTTTCTTCTGTTTTTCAACAGATATTAATTAACCTCTACTAATCTTTCAGGTCCTTGATCTAAGAAGTGAACAAAAGTGGTAACATTGTTTTGCATTCTTCTAGTCAGCTGCTGTACTGTTTCTTCACCAAGTCCAAGTACAGCAGTGCATTCGCTACCACAAAAGCATTGCAACTTCACCATTTTACCAAATGCTTACTTAACTTGCAATATGAAAGTATCTGGAAGACACATGTAACTGGAGTCTTGCACTTTCTCAATATGTGCATGCTGACTTAACCGTGCTTTTCTGGTGCCTCTTTCTTACATGTCTCTCCAAGTATTATTTAGAGCTTAGACTACAGAGTCTAGACACTGAGATGGCATAGAAGTCAACAGGAATGTGGGATCCTAAAAGCCTGTTATATGGGCTGTTAAGGAACTAGATGCATAAACTGGTGGGAAGCTAAACAGGTTCCAGGAAAACAGCTGTCTGCTCATGCTAATTGCTTGGCAGCTGTCCAATAACTTACCCCTTTACCTGTGCCTGGCCACAATACTTTCAATGAAACTTACTTTCACAGAGTTGAATTTCCCTCAGCTGTTCAGAGGAAGTTGTATGCTTGTGTGATCATAACTTTTGCTAGTGGCATGTATTCAGAGCAACAGGTTCTAGTTGCTGTTGTATTTGTGCAGTCCAGCTCAGACTTCTTGGTCTGCTTCTCCATTTTGGATTTATTTTGTAAGAGCTGTCTCTTTCATGAAACTACCTTTATTTTTTTAAAAGTACCAAGTTTATAAAAGTATGAATATATAAATTGTGAAATTTGAACTTCTTGACATGGAATGTAATGAAATGCAGCTTGACACATGCAAAAGATTCTAGATTCTCTAATAAAGAGGTTGAAATCTTTACTCTTGACAAACTAGATTTGGACATGCTGCATGTATGGCACCACATCTTAGAAATTTCATAGTGCTTTACAAGCAATTGCTAGGACCAGTACTCTTAGTCTAGATATATGCATGTGGCATTAAGTGGGTGATTGTTGTATGACTTAGATGTGTGGTCATGTTAATATTCTTCCTTAATACTTTTTTCTTGTTCTAACTCAAGTTGTTCCTTAAATTGCTGTTAGTTCTGATATTGTACTTGTTAAAGTTACAGCAAATTATTAACTTGACTAACTTCTGGAAAAATACCAGAATAACAAGAATGCTATCAGCCCTGTATGAGCTTACACGCCTAAACTTATGTGGCTTTCGTAGTTTGTGTAACAGATGTACTTTTGCCAAAATTAGAAGGTTAAGGGCAACCTTGATTTAATGATGGAATGCATGTTATCTTAGTAACCAGAAATAGTATATTCATAAAGATGGCAGGGAGAAGGATTCTGCATTTAAAATGAACAGGGATGTTGGATCGTGTGCTTGTCCTGCCTAATAGAGATAAGATAGCTTTAATAATTATTATGAACCCTCAGTGTTCAATATATTTTTGGGTAATTCCTCTAATCTGAAGCTGGTCCTAACAATTCAAAGCAGTTGCTTACTACTTTGTTGTAAATAACACGGCTCAACTGCTTAAATAAAATAAATATGGGAAGCTAACATAACAATCTTGTGTAGTCATATGCTGGGGTTTGGTCCACCAGTGGAGGCTGTCAGCAATCTACCCTGTAAGTCTCACCAGTAGCCTCGGTGTAGCTAACTTTGTATCCTAACAGTAACTTAGTGTTGGCATAGTTTACTAAAGCGAAACTAATACTGGAATTGTAACTGACCAGTATTTATAATAAGGAATGCATTAATTGCTTTCCTTTTACACATTTGTAATATGGTGGCTCATTTAGCAAAACAGTTCTGGCTCACTTTGGGAGTATTTTAGAAGACAGTTCTACCAGTTGCTTTGCTTAGTGAAACAAAAAGGTGAATTTTGAAGATCAAATTCCTTAGCAAAGAATTACTCAGCTGTCTTGAACTTTCTTTCATAAAACCAGGGGAGTTAATGGTAAAACCTTTCTTAATAATGCTCAACCCTATGAGTTTACTGTGCCGCTCATTGATAATGTAGAACTTGTTTTTAGGATGGAGATTTATTGCTCAAGTTTGTTGTATGATTGACCCAGGTGTGGAATACTCTGATTCGAACTGAGGTTAAGCCTCAGTTTAAGAGCTTGTGCTAACGGTTTCAATCTGTGGTGCAGTAGGTCATAGTTTTGGTTTGTACAGCTTTCTAAAGCTAAAGTAGAATGCAAAACGTGTTGTGATACAAGCTGGTTACCTTGCAAGGGGACTGGTTAAGGAAGAATCAGTATGTGCTTAGAAGGCAGAGTTAATAACAATTCTGTCACTGAATCTTTCAGCTTGCCTAAAGTTGTTAAAAGACGTGTGAATGCTCTCAAGAACCTTCAAGTTCAGTGTGCACAGATAGAAGCAAAGTTCTATGAGGAAGTTCATGAGCTGGAAAGAAAATATGCTGCTCTCTATCAACCCTTATTTGACAAGGTATTTTAATGCTACTCTGATTTGTACTTTAAGGCTTCAGCTAAAATACAAGGGAATATAATAAACTGAATGCGTGTGCAGTTCAGAATTACTTTGGTCTCATATGTGCCCATTTAATTCAATTGATACAATTTCGGCATCCCTGTGAACGTTGATTAAGTTAAGGGAGTGAGAGGTTCAGTCTGTTCCATGGTTACCAAAATCACTTCAGTATACCAGACTTCATTTTAATTAAGCAGATGTCAGATGGTATTGTAACTTTTCTGGGACTTCAGTGTTTTAGTGTGTTGAAAACCTCCAAACTGCTGGGTCTGCCTTCTAGAGCCAGAAGAAAATGTTTTGATAAATAGTTAATGTAGTACTAATTGTGTAATTTAGGATTAAGAATTTACTGATATGGGTATTGCTGATTGTAAATGGCTAGGAAATTCAAAAATATTCTTGGTTTAATCTTCCAGCGAAGTGAAATCATCAATGCAATTTATGAACCTACAGAAGAAGAATGTGAATGGAAAGCAGATATTGAAGAAGAAATTTCAGTGAGTATCTTAAATGGTTCTCATCAATATCTCAAGCTTTAGCATGAAACAAGATTCAGTACAGTAACTGAAGTTTAAAAAATAAAAAAAGATTGGGTTCCTAATGATTAATTGCTTATAATAACTATATTAATTCTTAATGATTGCTTAAAGCATGCACATGAAGCTTAAGCTGTACTGGTATTGAAATGAAACTGTTAGTGAACCTTATGGGCACTCTTTTAAAATTAAGGAAACCTAACATTTTTATTTTTTTAAGGAGGAAATGAAAGAGAAAGCCAAGCTTGAAGAAGAAAAAAAAGATGAAGAAAAAGAAGACCCCAAAGGAATTCCTGAGTTTTGGCTGACAGTATTCAAGAATGTGGACTTGCTCAGTGATATGGTGCAGGTAGGTCCAGGCTTATTTAAATAGTAGTACTAGTACTTAATCCAAGTGTCTTTAAGAAAAGAGCAGGATATTGCTTGATATGTCTGTTGAAGAGTGAAAATGGAACCATTACTTGGCTCTCATCTCTGGTACTTCATTCAACTGAGAGTGTAGAACACTGAAATATTTCTTTACTGTTTTATTTTTGGAACCTATTTTACCATACTAGTATGTTTTCTGTGCTTATAGGAGTGTGTGTGATGTGTATTAGACACTGCTAAAAACTGTACGTGGTGTTTGCATGGATTTTGGTTGTGTGCTGCATTAGAGAGTCTGTACAGCCATTGTTGCCATCTGCTGGTCACATTCATGACAGTATTTCAGTACTGGAACAAGGTTTTTATTCTAAGGAAAACTCATTCTAAACATTTTTGTTTCTGCAGGGTCTTAAATCTGTGTATAATGTAATGTTATGAAAATTAAATACACTGTGTTTTCTTTTCAGGAACATGATGAACCTATCCTGAAATACTTAAAAGATATAAAAGTGAAATTTTCAGAAGTTGGACAGCCTATGGTTAGTTTAATTTATTAAACAAGATTACATTTGTGTTATCTTAACACTTATTTGTATATTAGCAACATGGTCTGTGGTAGCCAATTGTCTTGTGGAAATCATGAGAAAATATACAGCTGTTTCTTCTGAGAAACAGTACAAGGACTTGTACTACTCTTGCTCTACCCTGCAAATGACTTTATACTAAATTTAACCTTCAACTTCTGATGAGATTGGCCTTAATATCTGATGACTTTCACCTTTGCATTTTGATACCTTTAGGTACTTTCTGTGTAACTGTTACAATTTGATATATTTTCCTGACAGAAATCAAGCAGCTTTCTAAGTTCTGATATTTTTAAATTTAGAAGTTCTCTCTTATACATTAGCATCAGGAAAGCTGTACACTAGGAGATCTTCTGTCATTACTGCAAACAGTATATTAACTAACAAGAACAAGATCAACATGATAAATTAAAATATTTGAAGAGTTTTTGTACAACTTGGGTAGCAAATTCTACAATAAGTTATGGATGTATTGGAGGAGAAGGGTGTATTCTGTTGCATGTGGTTTTTCTCAGGTTTGGATTTTAGATATTCAGAAATTAAAGGTATGTGTTGTAAATTACTAAAGTTCTTGCTCTGCAATTCTTTTTAAGAGTTTCACATTAGAATTTCATTTTGAACCAAACGACTACTTCACAAATGAAGTGTTGACAAAGACATATAGAATGAGGTCAGAACCAGATGATTCTGATCCCTTCTCCTTTGATGGACCGGAAATCATGGGTTGTACAGGGTAAGTGCTAACAGATAGCTTTAAGGCAATAACACTTTCTTCCTTAGTATTAACCAACTGTAGGCTTTTACAGCATCTTGGGAAGGCGCTGGAAAAGATACTTCTAATAACTTGTGAACAACTGGGTTTGTCTTGAATTTTTTAGTTGTTATAACTTCAATATAGTATAGAAAATATATTATTTATATTACATGATTTATAAGTGTAAATGTTATATATGCATATACGTAAACATGTAATCAGTATTTATTTAGAAATCCTGTTCTGCAAATCACTAAAGATTAATTGGAAGGTGGATAGTGCTATCTTTTAGTAGTCCTTTATAGCTTTATCCAAAATTTATTTGATAACTTCTTTTAATCTTTTTGTATTTCTGACATGCAGTATTTTGGGAAGTCTATTCCAGTTTTACTACTTACATTGCAGTTTTCCATTTTGTTTTATAAGTGTCAGATGTTTGCCTCAGAGTGTCTATCTGAGAAATGGAGAGCAGTCATCTATTAACTCCAGGCTACTAGTCTAAAAAGCTGTCACACTCCTTTTCAGGGAAATCTTTTGTTCTAAATTAGCTAAATTTTTTCTTTGTGAACACAGGGACGAGAGAAACCTGAATTGTACATAATTATCCGGGTACATTTGGGCCTGTTCAGTTGATTTCATGTTCATATCTCTAATGTTCTGGCTGGTCTTCTGAATGATAGCAACTAAGTTACAAATTATCACTGTAAAGTCATGGTTGGTTTTACCCTTTTAATAATCTGCAGTTGCTGGTACTGACTTATTTACCACTTCATTTCCCAGTCACTTAATATAACATATTTTGCGAATCTCCTGTAAGATTTAGTTTTAGTTGCTTGAGTAGCTTTGATCGAACTGTTTTGTCTTTCCCAGTTTGGACTGTTTTTGAAAACCATGAATCCTGGCAGAGTATGATGTGCAGTCACACTCTGCTTCTGTGAAAATGGTTAATTCCTAGTCCTTGTTTTGTCTTTTAACTAAGAAAGCCTCTTCTTGTCCCAAAGCAACTCGCTTCATTCCTTTGAGCCTTTAAAGGAATCTAATCAGAAACTTCTGCAAATGCAGATAATTTCACAGATATGACATTTTCATTTACATGTCACCAAAATGTTTTGACTGTTAGAGAAGTCTGTGGGTATGATTTGGCTCTGTAAGCAGGATAGAGTTAAAAAAAACCCCAAAACATCAGAACCCAAATAAACACAAGAAGACAAAACCCTCACAAACAAACAACTCAAAATCAGCCAAAAACTACACACCTGCTTGATGCATTATTTTAAGGATTTATTGACTGTAATGATAGATGTGGTGAACTTTGGCATATTACTAACGTGACCAAATATGACATTATAGTGGATGAGTGGCTCTAAAAACAGTGTGATACTGTTCTCTGATAGGAAAATAGGCAGTACTTGGTATCTAATAAAAATTAGTATTTCAGAGATTGAGTGGAGAGGAAAAATTTCTGGATGGAAACAATCCTAAAATGAGCCTGTTACTCTTGTTCTCCACATATAAAGGAATGAAAAGATAACACTGAATAAATACTACCTTAGTATTTACTTTGCACTGTCTTGCAGTTGTGATAGTCTCAGTAGGTACTTGTAACAAGGCGAACGTGATTAAGCTGCAGCTCATTTTTTGGTTTTGTTTGGTTTTTTCCCTTTTTTCTTTTTAGTTGTCAAATAGACTGGAAAAAAGGAAAGAATGTTACTTTGAAAACCATTAAGAAGAAGCAGAAACATAAGGGCCGTGGAACAGTTAGAACTGTGACAAAAACTGTTTCCAATGACTCTTTCTTCAACTTCTTTAGTCCTCCTGAAGGTAAGCTGAACGCTAGTTTATCTGCATTAACTTATAATGTAGAATGTACTTCACTGACTTGTTTCTTCTCTTTTTTTTTTATATACAGTTCCTGAAAGTGGAGATCTGGTGAGTTGGCTTATTTAAAATATGGTGATGGCGTGTTTGTGAAAATTGTATGGGAAGTTGTTAAATGGCTTCAGCTTTAACTGCCTCCATATTTAACTTATAACACCTGTGAGGACTAGTATGTATTTGAGTTTTCTTTATTAGAAGGAGTGTTTGTTGAGTTGGGTGGTAGATTTTAGTTTAGTCAACTTTACCAGTTTATCCTTCCTGAAAGCTACCTTATGAGTTGTTAACAATTGTACAGATGTAGTGATCTTCATTATTAGTCTCTGATCTAATGGGTGGTTGTAAGTCTTTCCCTTTAGGCATTGTTTAGATGATTTTATCTAATGGTTGAATGTATCTGGTTGTATTTTATTCTGTTGAAAGTTTCCCGAGCTATTAACTCTTGGAGAAAGTAGTAAAACAATAATAGAAACCTGCGAGAACCCACTTTTCTGTGTGCTCACTGTGGCAATAAGCCGTGGTTTTGTTAGGAGAAAAACTACCAAAAATACTCAGCAGTTGGGAAGGAATACCTTATGCAGCTTGAGTGAGAAATGACATTGAGGTTCCAGAGGCATGCAGTTAGAACTCCAGTTGGCATGGACACCAAAAACTATGTTCACAATATTAAAAAGAAAAAAAAAACCCAGAAAAGAAGCCTTTTGAATTGAAGATAATTCTCAGATGGAAGACAGCGGAACACTTGGTGTGAAAACAAAAGGATTGAGAGACTGGGACTGGATCAGAGAGTATTTTAGGTGTTCAGGTGCTTCACACTGGCTTGTATAATGAGAATCATGGAGGAGATGCACTGTAGGAATCAGAAGTAGGTTGTAAAATCTTTGAGATGGGCTCACCTGGCTACTTTAAGGGTACCGTGCGTATGAACTGAAGTCTATGGGACTAAGATTAAACAATCTTTCTACTTGGAACAAAAGGAAGTCGGGGGTGGGGGAAGAATAGAAGTTAAACTCCAGAATTTTGTATAATTAAGCTTACTGATGCAGCAGCCTCCCACTGCATAATGTAGGTGGGCTGTTTAAAGTGTCAAACTTGGCTCCTCAGTTTCAATTCTCTAAAGCAGGTCCTGAAACAAAAAAATCAGTACATGGGATTTGTATAAATCTGACCCCATCAAAATCTGTGCAATTTGTGTTTATCTGTTAAAAGTAGTTATTATCACCGTATGGTTTAGGAAATAATGTTGTTTTATGCAGGATGATGATTCTGAGGCAATCCTCGCTGCAGACTTTGAAATAGGTCATTTCTTGCGTGAACGTATAGTCCCCCGATCAGTATTGTACTTCACGGGAGAAGCTATTGAAGATGATGATGATGACGTAAGTATAGTGTTCATTCCAAACACTAAAAACTTTGAAATATTGCTGCTTAAAGACTTTGGTTATTTTTGACATTGGTATCTTTAGATGGGATGCATCAATGTTGATTTCAGCAGAGCTTCCTAGAGTGTTGAGTAAAGAGAAGCATGAAAGTAATTCATCTTTGAAGTAGTGACTTCAGAGTTTTGTGGCAAAAGTAATGGTGGAAGCTGAACCTCTAGAGGATGTCTTAGCAGAATTTTGTGTAAAGGCATTTGTAGAGAGGTGTACCAAATACTTTGATAGAATTATAATGAACTGCCAGAGAACAAATCAGTCTGTTTATCTAGTTGCTCAGCTCTTCTTTGTGCTTGTAGTGATATTGGGATACCAAGCTTCATGAGATTCAGGCCTCATCCTTTCAAGAGTGCACTCTTACTAAAAATTGCTAGATAAGCACATTCAAAGCATACCAAAACACTCAAAGCAAGTTCTGCAAAAGCTTAAATTAAGTGCATTTAAAGAGCTAAGCTTGAAATCGACAAACCACAAAGCCCCCTAGAATTTTATACAGGTAAAATATTTTCTGTCCCTTGCCTCCCCTTAAGCAAGGACAGTTTGACAGTTAAGATAGCTTAGATATGTCTGTCTTACATGTAATTTTTAGAATCTAAACTGTTAGCCCTTGGTCCAAAGCCTTGGGTGGGGATGCAGAGGAGGGAGGAGCTGGCTATGGATTGCTGTGGGCTGCACGGCCTCCTGCTGGCCACAAGTGGTACCGCAGTCTAATGGCTCCTCCAGTGCTGCGGAAAGGGATGCTCTGGCTGTCTCCTCTGCCGGAGCTTGCTTGGCTTGAGAAGTTAAACATTGCTCATGCTGATGCATACAGCATTTTTAAGTTTGGCAGATACAGGAACTTCTGTCAAGAGCACCATACAGTGTGGTCTTTGCCATCTGCTTGAGTTATCTGGCTGTAGTTGAGCTATAAATGGCTGCATTTATGATGCTTTCAAAACCACTTATTTTCTCTCCTAGTATGATGAAGAAGGTGAAGAGGCAGATGACGAGGTAAGACGACAGATGCCTTTGGTTCAAATGTTTTCTCTGTTGTAGTTTGTTATGTGAATAAGAGTTCCTTTTGTTTTTGAAAGCTCTGGACACTAAGTTTAAGAATTACTTAGGAAGTAAGATACAACATATTATTTTGTGGATCTGGGATGAATAATTTTTTAAAAACAACAGAATAACAAGAAAATGGAAACCAAACTAAGACAATCCGTAAGGTATCATACAAATTTAAGTTGCAACTGATGTCAAAAGATGGCATGCTTTGTGGAGGGTTAGCTAATACAATATGTATAGCATGAAGTTGTAATGAATGTATTTCTGAATATAATTTCATCTTAATTTTCACGAAAATGGCTCAGGAGGCTGAATGTGAATAAGCTAGAGAAATATAAACAAGTGTTTTCTTTTAGGAGGGAGAAGAAGAAGCAGATGAAGAAAATGATCCTGATTATGACCCAAAAGTAAGGCATTAAAATGAATGTTTGAAGTTTGTGTACACATATGGATATTTAAAGTTTTATGTACATGAAATTTTTATTTTAGTTTAAGTATTTAATCAGTAGTTCCTATAGTGAGTGTGTTTTGGCTGAGGCCGTTTCAGTCCTGGTTCGAACAAACTAATGTTGACAGAGAAACTTCTACAAAGTTTTTTCTCCAAGAATCATTTTGTTACAGTAACTTTTGACTTTGAGCACTGAGGTTAGTCAGGCTTGGTTTTCTATAAACTTGTCTTGCAGCAAGTTGCTGCTAATGATGTAAATATTCTGTAGTGATTGTAAGGAGATGCAGAGAACTGCGTATCCAGGTTCAGTTTTTGGAAACATATTACAAGCTGGCTCTGGCACAGATTTTCCCAGCAGAATACAAAACTGAGGCTTTTTCAAGGGAGATAAATAGCAAGTCTTTTATTGTTTAAGGTAACAAAAGTCAAGGTTCAGGAATGTATCTTCAGCCAAGTACTAAAATGTGAAGAGCCAAGCGCAATTGACAGGTTTCTTAATCCATAGGAAGGGCAAATCACTAATCAGGCTGGAAAAATGATTGTGAACCACTTAGTTCATACCTTTTTAATAGTTGAGGGAAAGGCACATCTGGCCAGCTAAAAACATCTGGTGGTAATAGGTGAAAGTTGCAGTCATGGAAATGAAGTCTGAAGTACTCTGAAATGCCTGCTGTAAAATATCCTTGCCATTTCAAATGAGGAGGCACTGTGTTTTTCAGTAGCAGTGGTTTGAGCTACTATCAAAGTACTATTGAAAGAATTACGTAATCTAAGGCATAGATTAAGAACTGTTAATGAAAATGTACAGCCTCTTGGTGATGTTTCATCTGCTATAGTGTATTCAAATTGCTTCCTAGTCAAGGAAGTTTTGGAATCAAAATGAAACATCTGCAAGTTGGGCTTCTTATTTTGACCATTTCGCATATTGCTTTTCTTAGAGAAACAGAACTGAGAAAGGGCAAGACTGCATACTCAGTTTCAGAGAGAACTGCCAGAGGGCTAGAAACAGTGGTGGTACGATTAGAGTATTGACATAAGGATAAATAGTTGTAAGCTGATCGCAGGCTATAAGGCAGCTGAATTTATTAAAGCACTGTGGTCCTAGAATAGCTATCCAGACCAAGGTATTAGAGTAAAACTTGCATTTGAACTCTGCCCCCAAAAAACCTTTTCCTTAAATTCCTGTATTACTGTGACATTGTTGGTTTTCTGTTTCACTGTAACAGAAGAAATTTTCCATGTTAGAATTTTTTAACAACTGGAATTTGTTAGACGTTTCCAGAGTGTTAAGAATATCCTGTGATTTGGAGTTGCTCTCCAAATCACATTAGTTTAGTCAACTTTACCAGTTCATCCTTCCCGAAAGCTACCTTTTGAGTTGTTCACAATTGTACAGATGTAGTGATCTTCATTATTAGTCTCTGATCTAATGGGTGGTTGCTCTAGGGTGGCTTCTGGAATAAGACCATACCCTTTTTACTGCCCATAGGAAGTTTGTTTTGTCTTAAACTGAGTAGAAGGCCTGGATGCTTCTTCTGAGCTGGGTTGTTTGTTACTACATGTAACGCTTCTCCTTTTTACAGTTACAGTGTCTTTCAGAGTGTTTTGCCACACTCGGTTCTGAACAGGTTTTTGTTCTGGATTGTATACCAATGCACTAAGAAAGCCAAAATAAATGCTGTGTCCAAAGAAAGCAGTATTGCTAATACTAGACAATTAGTGCAAGGGAAAAGATGGAAGAAGAACTTGAATACTGCAGCTTATGAACACATGTTTAGCAATATTGATAGTTCTTTTAAAGTTCAGATTTCTGTAAACTAATGTTTCCTTTTTTCTCAACAGAAGGATCAAAACCCAGCAGAATGCAAGCAGCAGTGAAGCAGTGTGTATGTGGCCTTGAGGATTACCTGCACTGTAATAGCCTAAACACAACTATTAGTTACTTACAGCCTTATGTTTTGTATCTTGGTAGAATTAAGTAACCAATTTGTTAAAAAAAGAAATCAAACACATAAGAACCAGTTTAAAATGTAGGTTCAATCTACCTAGCATTTTAACAGTATAATTTTCTGCCAATATGTAGAATGCAGTAAATTCCCTAAAGCATGAATGTTAATTCATTGCTACATAGTTTGGTTCTTGTGAAGTCTTTGTCATGTAGCTATTAGACTGCAGCTGTGAAGATTATCAGAACTGTTAACTGAGACCAATATTTGTTTAGAGAAAACTCTCTCCTGAAGAACCAACCAAAGTATTTTTCAGCCCAGTAGTCTGAACGGGTTTAAGTCTGCTTGCACTAGCTGTGCCTTCATTACTTTGTTATAGAAATGGCAGTGACTTGTACTAACTAGGAGATGATGATGCATTTTGAATTTGACTACTTGAGAAGACTAGTATAACTTGTTTAATTTCCAATGAGACCACATTAAACATTCATAACTGTCAGCTTGTTTATGCTATGGGTTTTGTATTTTATGTGACACAGTGATCTACAAAAGAAACCTAGTCATCATATTAAGGTTATTGTTTACCACTGGGGTGTGAATAAAACCTAGTATTTTCAGAAGCTAGTCTTGTTTTATTATGTTTGTATCTGCACGTGTAAACTGGTAAGATGTATCTTACATGCTGCAGTTCATGTTTTACTTGAAACAAACGTTGATAATTACTGACAAGTAAGTTATATAGCATTTGAAAAACAAACACAGTAGTTTGGAAAGTTTGATCAGTACTTTCTGTTTGCAGTGTGATACTTGTGAATCTGAGCTAGATGTTCCAGTGATTGGTCCACACTGCCATTTTAGAGAAGACAAGTCCTTAGAAATGGGGCTAGATCTGATAAAGGACTTCGGTATTGCCGTGCCTGACTTTAAGGCATTGCATATTAGTATGAAATCTGAAGCAAAGTGCCTTGGATTTTCAGTCTGTGTAGAACAGAGCTATGTTATCCTGAACAAAACCTACCCTGCAGCCGAAGGGAGTGCTAGAACACTTAGCTCTATTCTAGTTTGTCCTCACTGTTTCATCTGTGGAGGAGGAAACAAACTGGAAAGAATTCCTCTTTCTTCACCTAGTGTTCTGTTCATGTGCTTGTTATGGCATGTTCTGGTTCATACTTTTGTCCATATTGGATGTTTATTCTCAGTTGAAACACAGGGGCTAGAAGACCTTTCTCATTCTAACCTTGCCTCTAGCCTATTAGTGGAGGTGCTGGATGATGCTGAGTTTTCCCAGTCAGTAGCATGCTACTGTACTCTGTGCAGTCTTGTCCTTCACAGATAACTATATCAGTTCTGATCTTCTAAATAAGTAGTTAGAGAGCTTTTTTGGGCATAGAAGGGTCTTGTAGGATTGGAAAGAAATGTCCAGCTATCTGTGGATTTATTTCTGCAGTAGCTACTTTTTTTTTTTTTGTGCCACTCCTATACTGACTTAGTTTGGAAAGACCAGGGCAAGCAGGAGTCAATAACATGAGGATAGGGCTGGTAGAAGAGTTTCTCTAGCGTGTCTCTTGCTTGGAGGGTAAGTAATGCAGAATGAACCTTATCCCAAGTGCCCTTCTGAATCATCAGGCCCCCTGAGAGGATGTGGGCCTAGTGTCCTCTGACTAAACTGTTTTTTGTTTTATTTGTTCTTATTTTTAATGCCTTGAAGGTTTAAATATCACACTGCTTCATTTCAGAATCCCTGTCGGGCTTTGTCCCTCTCAGGATATCCATGGATTTGGGAAAAGGAGCTCATGTTATCTATAGCTGTATATAAAATAGGACTGTTGAAGCTGTGATCTTGGGTGTTTTTTAGGTAACACATATATCATAGCATAGAAAAACGCGGTTATGAAAGGTTAACAATCGTTCTCTAGTAGCTGTGTGTTAAAGTAGGTGTAGTTGTGTTCTTGTGATACCAGAATATGCGTGTCCTTTGAGGCGGTGACCCTGCCAGGTGTTTGGGTTTCACATGGTCTCTTTGCTGAGCATCTCCCAGGTTTAAGTTTAAACTTCAGGGTATGTGGAGACCAAACTATTGGCATGTTATGAGCTTGAGCAGTCATTAATATGGGGCTTCGGGATTCATACTTCTGGACATGCGAAGTCTCTGAAGTCCTTACTTAGATCTAGCCCATTTTTGCTAACAGCATCTGGAATCCGTATCTTAAAAAGAAAATGAACTGTTAAAAGTTGTCTAAGTTTCAAAATTCACTGTACTTAACAAATTTGGCTTGTTCTTTGATTGCTTTCTCGTTTAACATCTTCATAACATACAGTGGGATACAATATTTCAAAAGGGGAGTTGGTACATGTCAAGGCACACCTGCAGCCTGCAAGATCCAGGGCCATGAATCCATTTTTACTGACAGATTTTGGTAAGCTTCTCTCTGGATTGACTTGCTAGTTCTAAAGCAGCAGTTCTTGTGGTCTCCAGACTGCAGGAAAAGGAAGGATAAAATATAAATAAGGTGCCATTTCTTATGGCATTGGTTAAATAAAAACTTCTGGTGCTTAACATAGTTTTGTTATCAACGACACTGTTGTTTAGCAGTTCTGAAAGGCAGTATGTAGCAGGAACATTAAACTTTCAACATTGATTGGAGTGTTATGACTCATTCTTTTCACATAGAGCATGTCCTCATTTCGTATTTGAGAAGGATAAGTTACCATGTTAAGAAGTTCATGCTAGGAAAATATGTCACTGAAATGGAATTTCTTGGGCAGTAGTTGCAGTACCACACCAAAGTTTAGCATCTGTGTAAATGGTGTCTTCTGTCCAGTTTTGGTTGCTGTATCAAAGGGTGACTTATCTTGAAGAAAAGTGGGAGGTTGGTGAGGGAAGAGGTAGGAGAATTTAATGAGACTTGAATGACAGTGAAGTGTGCTCAGAGTTTATACTTGATGGAGAGGGGATGGTTCTTCATAATTCTATACTTTTAGCAATCCAGATTAGATTACATTAGCACTAAAGAGTTTGCCTGTTTGATAAAATTTTGGTTGTGTTAAAAAAAATAATAATTAAAAAAACCCAACAGCATCCTGAAATAAAGGAGACCAAATTTAAGGTTAGTATTCTGAGGGTTTACTTTTTGGAGAAGGGTGATGTCAGGTGCAGTTCGAAGTGTTACCTTTGGTTACATGAACACTATCATAGCAACGCTGCTTACCAATGTCTCCTACAGCTAACTAGCTTCATAAGCTTGGATTCTTACTTGGATTCTTGGAACTGATGTTTCCCAAGCTAATGGCAGATACTGTAATTTTGACATGTTTTGGTTTTTAAGTGAAAACCTCATTGGAATATAGAAAAATACAGAAATTGAATGTGTTCATCTTTGCCTTCCAGCTGGTACTTCAACTTTCCCTGTGTTTTAAGGCTAGTTGTTGTAGACCTGACTTGGAAATCGATGGGAAGCTTATATACGGATGGGTGATTAACTTGTCTGCTGAAAGTTTTTTATTTCCTAAAGTATCTATGCAGCAGTTGTTTCTCAGATGCTTCCTGTTGGGCAGAGGATTCTGGTGTGGCATTCTCAGTGGCTTAAGGAAGCAAAATGCTAAACCCCTCTGTACAGAGGGGGCAGCCTGATAATGAAGGCATTTCTGTATGGAACAGCCTTCATGGTCTGCTAGGTTGGGGCTACAGGTGCATGGATATTGAAGTAGGTAGACTCAGCTCTACAGCACTTTTTCCTTTATTCTGTGCAGATGTGTCCTCCTTCAATCCAAGACTTTCTTGTGCAGGTTGGAGAAACTGTTGCTACCACACCTCCAGTTTTGTTTCTTAATAACTGCTCGGTTCTGTTTGAGATGCACTGATTCCCCTCAAGTTTTCAAAAAGGTGTCGAAATAATTCCTAATGCTTACCTGAAGAGAACATAAATTCCCTACTGGAAATAGTAAGTCTTACTTCTATACACTAGCAAGAGGAGTTGAAGTTTGTCCATGTGGGATGTTGGACAAGATTTATCTCATTGCTCTTTAAATCCTCCTGTTAGACCTTTGGCAAGGCCTAGTAGTCTTCCACATGTGACTTGTTTCTCAGCTTTTTAGGAAAATCAGAACAAGTAAAGCAGGCAGGATGACACACAAAGTACAGATAAGCTATTCTATATTTGGCTCTGCTTGGTGTATACCAGAAATGGGTGTACAAGGCGTGAGGGGCTGCGGCAGAAGGGTTCTTTTGTTCACAGGCATTTAACTAAAGCATGTAAATTGACAACATGAGTTGGCTCTGCAGCTACAGGAGGTGCTTAAACCCTGTTATGAACTTGGCTTCTATGTCCTTCAGTGTTGTAATTGCCCAAATTTATGTTTGCCCTGCAGTGGAGAAACAGTATGTTCTGAACTTGCAGAATGTTTTACTGTGGTGGTCAAGTCTGAGAAACTTAAATCCCTTTACAGACTAGTTTTTCTCTACAATGTGTGCTTAAGTACTTTTTTAATATTTTTGGAAGAAGGAGGTATATACAGCTGTCTGTGAGATGGAGTTCATAAAAAGAAAAGTCTCTCCCTGAGATCACCTGTTCAGTGTTTCAGTGTTCTGTCAGCAGCAAGTTGCAGTGAAATTACTGGGAGATAGTAATGGTCAAGAAAATCCATTAAGGATTAGCCACTTACTGTCCACTTGCTTTAATGACATATTGCAACACATCTATTTGTCATGTATTTCTCATGAAATTTCCCCTGACTTATTTTCTCCCTCATTTTCCTTCTGTTTAGCAATGACCAGCTCATATTTCATTTAAGTTTCCTTCTTAACCCTTTTTCTGTTTTAGTCACTTCTCAGAAGAAGTTATGATGCTTCAGGGTTTTCGCTCAGGATACGTTTAGCATCCCTTTGAAACTAATAGTTGATAGGTGATGTCAAGCTGCTGTCTGCAGATTCTGGCAGAACACTAGGAAAATATGAGCTTTTTAGTTTTTCACAGTCACTTCCCAAAACAATGTTTAACTTGCCTCGGGATTTAAAAAGAAGACTTTAAATACTCAACCATAATTATTCTCTAATTAAGGTTGCACATACAAAATTTCAACAAAGTTAGGAAGGTTACGATACAGGAGACCAGAGTATTTAACAAGAAAGCATTTCTGTTACCAGTATCAACTTTGAACACAGAAAAGGAAAAATTCAGTATGAAATACATATATCTCACATGGTAGAGGCTTTCAAGGAATCAGATTAGGTGTTTTTTCAGGTTGTAGTATCTCAGGTTTGACAGTAGGAGGCATCTTCTCATCAGCCATTTCTGGGTGGATGCAGAACCTGCATGGTGTTTCAGTGAAACTGCAATAAAGGTAGCAGATGTGGAACATTTAATAAAATTGTAGTGGTTTAAATGTATATTACAAGGAAAGTAAAATCTCACTGGGATAATGTAGTGTGCTTAACTGTACTGAATGTGGTTTTTCAAAATAGTAACAAATATTTACAAAAGTTCAGTTTTGACTTGCATCTAGGAAAATGAAGTTTGTTATCCTTTACTAGCAAACTCTGCACAATTAAATTGGGTTATCTTGTTCTTTTACCATGTAATTGTCAGTATTTCATCTTACCCCATTCTCTTAGCTTTTGGTGGGTTTAGTCAAATGTAGTGTATTTTAAATGGCTGTTAATATTTGTTGGCTTACAGAGTACAAGTTTAAATGGATGTTTTGCATGTTTGCTTCTGATCACATGCTTAGGTGAATTTCACCAGGAATAAACAGTTGTTGTAAGTCTATACATAAGCAGAGTATGTCCTTCAGTGTTTAGGGTTGGGTTAAAAATCCCACATTCAATGCTTCAGAGAACTTTATGTCATGAAAGGGCAAAGTGGAATGAATTTAGTCCCTTTCTCCAGTATATTTGATGAAAACATTTGTCCTTCCACACTAGTCTCACTTTTTTCCTTTGGTTAACTGCAATTTACTCTTAGTACTGAGAACAAGCGAAAAAGCTCACATTAAAGTATATAGATAGAGGTTGTGTGCTATTGTCCCTAAGTGTTACAGTGCAGTGTTCTGCGAGGGTGGGAAAGTTCTTGAATGCTTGTTACACACTGTCACATGTGGGACTGCTGAATCTAATGCGAATTTCCACACTACTGGTTAATGCATTTACTAGGAATCAAATGGCTGTTCACTTAGAGCGATGGAGCAGCAACCAGAACTGAACAGGTGAATTGTTAGAAATTGGTCTTGCGTAGGTGTAGGCCAGTGTCCTATGCCTTATGTAAACTTGGTATTTTAATTAAGCTGCTCTGTATAGGTGAATGCATTTTAACCAGTTTGGTTTAGCTGGACACTTTCAAAGTTAAGTGTGTCACATGAGCAGAGACTTAATTAGGAGTGAAGGAGTAGGTGCAAAACATATCAGGTGAAAAGGGATGTCACTAAGGCCATTTGTGAGGCACCTTGTATATGCACCAGCAGCTGAAGGTGCAGATATTTGTGCTGTGGAATTTAGGTTCAAATGGTATTGAACTGCAGATTGAGGCAGTAGTGAATGGTGTTCAAATCTTTGGAAAATCAGCATGTGCCTCTGTTAAAATGGGCATAGGATGGTTGTGAGAATGAACTGTATCTTAGAGCATATCTATTCAGCTCTAAGGAGACAGGACTATTCTTTACATAAATGGATATTTTAAGATATTAATTTCTCTTTTTTTGTTTAGTTTGTGGCTAGCCAATTTGCTTTTGTTACTGATTTGAGTGTCTTCCAGTTACCTCAGGAAGGGTGAACCAGCTAAATTCTAATTGCTGTTATTACCTTAATTGTTTACACCTCAACAATTTATCAAAATTAACTTTGAACGTCAAGAGGAAAAGATTTAAAAAGGAAATCCTTTAAAAATGTTATCAAAGATAAACTCCATTAAAGCTATCATTAATGTTGATTTTTTTTCCCTAATGTGCTATTAGAGCACAGCACATGCTGCAGCATGACCTGCTTACTAGCTGCCAAGATTACTGCAAAGGAGGTTTTCTTTGGGGCCATGATAAATGCATGTTTAAAAACAGTGCTCTCAAATGTAGTATGAAACTTCCAGCATTCAGTTTACTTTGGCCATAATGTGCTGTCAAATTCAGCTGTGTGGGCTTTTGATTTACATCTAATACATCAAAGGACTAAAAAATAGTTTCATATTAACCTTAGGTCACTTTTCTGCTCAAATAAAATTATTGAAAAGCTAACCTTGGGGGAGAATCTGAACAATAAGCAAATGTGTGGCAACAAAGCAGATAAATGGTCGTAGCTGTTGCCAGTTTGGGTTTGTTTCTTTATTTGTTTGTTTTCCCTAGTCTGCTTTTACAATTTCCAAGTGCCCAGGTTCTACTGTTTACTTCGGGAAGTGATATGGATACTTGCTTTCTTTAGATATTACTGGAAGTGCTGCAGGAAGTAGAGGTTTTTTTATATATATATACACATTTGAAGCTGCTTCTCCCCAGCACAGCGGGAAGCCGTTCGGAAGCGTAGGGATCAAGCCGTTGTACCAGGTTGTGTGTGTCAGGCTGTTTCCTTTGTTTAATGGAACGATGATCCCTTAAATATCAGGGTGTTGCTAAAAATTGGCACCGGTTATACTGGGCTTGAATCAAAAACACGGAGAAGGAGGGCCCTTTGCTGCTATTCCCCACGGGGTCAGGCTGAGGAAATCTGTTTCAAACAAATGCTGCTGGAACACCCCGAGGAAGGCAAACGAGCGCTATAGAGCATTTGAATTGTCCTGTTAACCTCCCTGCATTAGTCTACCGGCGGGGAAACCCTTCCTGCCTCAGCACCGCCGAGCTCTGCCGTGGCCACTGCCCCTTGGAGGAGGGGCGGGGAGCCGGGCAGGGCCCCCTGCCTGGGAGCGCAGCCCCCGGCCCCGCTTCGCGGGCGGGGCTGCTCCGCCGCGCCCCTCGGCTCCGCTCCGCTCTGCACCGTGCGGTGGCTTCCCCGCGCCGGGGGCGGGAGGAGCCGCCGTTTCGCTGGTGTCACTCTGGGGTGGGAGAGGCGCGTTCAAAAAGCGTGTAGGCGCAGGAAAAGCCGCCGACAGGCCCCGGCCGCCCCGCACCGGCAGGTTCCGCCGCCCGCCCACGCCGCGGCACGGGCGGGCCGCTGCGCTTCCTGCGGGCCGGGCGCTCCCGGCCCTTCCGCTTCGGAGCCAGGCGCCCGGCGGAGAGTCCTCGGTGGTGCCGGCTCTGCCCCCCGAGCCCAGCCCACTGCGGACGGGAGGCCGCCTAACCCTGCCAGAAGGATGCTGGAGGGCGGCTGCAAGGCGGTGAAGGAGGGCATGCTGGAGAAGAGGAGCGACGGGCTGCTGCAGCTCTGGAAGAAGAAGCGCTGCATCCTCACCGAGGAGGGGCTGCTCCTCATCCCCCCCAAACACCCCCCGCCGCCGCAGCAACAGCAGCAGCCGCCTCTGCCGGCCGAGCCGGCGGCCAAGATCAAGGAGCTTCACTTCTCCAACATGAAGACGGTGGACTGCGTGGAGCGGAAGGGCAAGTACGTATACTTCACGGTGGTGATGGCCGAGGGCAAGGAGATCGACTTTCGGTGCGCGCAGGAGCAGGGCTGGAACGCGGCGATCACGCTGCAGATGGTGCAGTACAAGAACCGCCAGGCCATCCTGGCCGTGCGCTCCACCCGGCAGAAGCAGCAACACCTGGCGGCGCCCCACGGCCCGCGCCTCCGCGGCGCGTCCAACTCCGCCTAGCGCAGGTACGGACCGGCCCCGCGCCGCTCCCGCCGGGCACTGCCCGCTCCCGGTGCCGCTGCTTCGCCTCACGGGCTGCCCTCTGCTCTCTGTCTCACTGCAGGTTGCGTTCACGGAGCGCTTCGGGGAAGCGGGACTGAGAGCGTTCGTGGCGGACCTGCGCCAGGGGGTCTGAAACTGGGGAAGCGCCGGAGGGGCAGGTAGACCGGAAAGAAGCGGCTCAAAATCCTGAACCCCAGCCTGCTGCTGCTTTGCCGCCCTCGGTGCCGAGAAGCATTTCAAATCTATTATTTATGAACCTTGGAAAGGATACTTTGGTGCGATGGGATTTCTAGAAGACATGATGTACTGTAACTTTATTTTAATGTATTTTATTTATTAGAGTTGTTTTCTTTTGGGTTTGTTTTCCTCTTTTTTTTTTTTTTTTTTTTTTTAAGGCTTGTTTGCAGGATATTTCTGAATGTAGGCTGTATCATAAAAGCAAAGGAAAAAACAATATGCATGTTAGCTCCCTGAAGGAACTAAAAAAGTTCTGGGTAGTTTGGCTGTGTGCAATTTGACGAAAGTTATCCGTTTTTTATCCAAAATACACTATATTCCACTAACATGGAAAATGTGAAACCTATACTGCATATGAAATCTGTTTTCTCTAATGAGAATAACAATTGTAGTCTGAGGTTTAAATTATTGCCTTTTAAAATATTAAACGTGGTGGAAGATGGTAAAAAGTTATTCATGCTTGACTATTCAAAAAGCAATGTTGCTTGTTATTCTGAGGTTAAAACCCATCTGTTTAATGTATGAGCAGAGGAGAACCTGACCAACTTCTTTTGTGATGCAGGAATCTGAGTTGGATTCCAGCTATCAGTGTGATGTGCTTGCTCCTGGGCTGGCGGGCTAGAGCTGAGGCGTTCACGAAGGTTTCTTACTGTCCAAGTTCAGGGCTCCCTCTGCACGCTTGTTTTTTAAATGATCTGGGCTGTCAATCTGTATTGCTTTTTCATGGCGGTTTTTAAATGTCTTGCATTAAAGCAGCCCATAGTTTAAAATCCATTTTATATATGTCTTGGTGTGCAAATGGATTATTTTGGTCACAGTTTTCATAAGGTTGCTCTCTAGCTGAGATGAACTAGGCTAATTTTGGTGTTTAGCACTGTCAGATGTTGAGAGAGGCGTATGATCTTGCCTCTGAAAACGTTGACTAAGCAATGAAGTTGGAAAACAAAGGGCTAATTGCACAGCTGTTGTGTCTTCCTCTGTCTCTTAAAAGTCAGTGGGAGTTTGGCTGTCGATGCTGGCGGTAATGGGTCAGAGCTCTTTGCTGGTGTAGAGGAGGGAGCTGGGCGTGGGCCGGTGAGCTTTCTAGGACTGGGCTCTTCAGTGATGGGTGGCTTCATATTGTGTGCCCCTACAGCAGGTTCTCTGGTTTAAATGAAGTGGGGAGGCTGTAAATGGAACAGAACAATGTGGCCAATTATCTCTGGTTCAAGATAAAAAGTCAGAGCCATGGAGCTATTTATTTTAATTAGTGTGGTGAGGAAAATTACTTTTGGCCCCTTTACAAGTTACATGAATGTAAACAGAATCATTTAAAGTTTCACATCCAGGACTGTTTTTTTGGTGTAACTGAGGTGTAAATTAACAGCAAGAGCCCCACATTCTCTGTTCAAGCTGTTTCTGTAAGTTCAAGCTGTTTCTGTAAAGCAAAAGGCTGAAGTGATACTCAAAGGAAGATCTTAGAAGTGGCTGCTGTGCGTGTCAGTCCCTTCCTCTGCACCCTAAGCTTAAGCTCAGTCAGTAAGGAAAAAGTTGGGATCTGTGTTAGCCCTCTTCTTTTGTCCCTTGCCCCCAGGTTTTGGAGTCACATACCTAGACATGCAAAGCACGTCATGGTAACAGAATTAAAGCCCGGATCCTGACGATTCTTTGTAGTTACTCCTGAGCACTTCTTTCCAATATGGCCCTTGACAAGGTTGCATGATGAACTTGGGGTGGTAGATTACAGCTGTTCTAACAAAGTTATTATTTTGAGATTAATT